TAACCCCAAAGAGAGGTAGGAAACTCGTTTATTTCCAGAAATGGCATACTATTTACTAGGAACCACATTAAGCACAGCCAGTGATATAAAACTAGCTACTTACCACCAGAGTTGCCTTCAATGCTGGTTGTAACTTTAGCTTCTGTCCAGAAGCATCAAAAACACAGCATTCGTTAAAATGTATGCCATCTTTCTCTTCCTTGAAATTAAGCCAAGCTTTTGCTCGCTTTGAGCATCTTTGTTTTGCTTTTCTAGACTTACGCCTGGTCACATCGTACTTGCTTACTGAATGCCGTGTGCGTAACTTGCGTAAAAAACGTGACTTAAGTCGTGCTGCCCAGCGCTAGGCTCTGGTGCTGCCTGGAATGGTTAAGAGAATCATTAAGCAAGCTGCCAAACGGTGCCATGGAATTGGAACACATGAAACCTGTTCTGAACAGGAACCGGTTTTCGATTCCCATCCCTACCAGTGATGTTACACTATATGATTGGCTGAACGTTGTCGATGTGACACATAGTAGTTGCTGGACAATGATAACATAACGCAACGTCCGAGTAGGGATTAGCATGTCTAATGACCGATAAAGTTTTACCTGATTGATAACAGAACAAAAAAAAAGTGCTTATAGTGAAGGAAGTAACTACAAGTCGATAGCATAATGCGGGAGAGCCGGAAAATGCTTTGGCTAGGTGTGCTCACTAGCTAACAGATTTGCCTCTTTTAGCTCGGTCAGTTACCCGTATGAGGTTACACTACTTTTAACTTCATGTCAACAACAACCGTTACTTCTCTACTAGTAGAATAACTGTGGTTTTCTTTGTCTAAAATCTCCACAAAATTCATTTTTAAGATGTTGCTTTTTTCTCCCCTGCCCTCAGATCTTATTAAAAAAAAAGAAGCAATGAGACTTTTTGTGTTACATTGATAAATGCCAGAGCTCAGTCTGTCTTAGAATACAGTATTTGCCTTTAAGACTAAGAATGATTGTTTTCTACTTTTGGCTACCTTAGGTCGCCAAGGAAACGTAAATAAAAGCAAAAATATATAATAATAAGTTTAGACTGAGTGGCGTTGCTCTATGATGACGTTATCAGCAGGGGCAGCGCCCCAAAAAGATCTGACCACCCGAACAGATCTGTAACCTACACATGTACCACAATGCTTTCATTGGTAAGACTTGGGTCATGCTCACACCTCCCCCCCCCCCCCCGCCCTTGCGTGTCTGTTGACACCATCCCGATGGGTTACAGTTGATGATGTAACTAGTGCAACAGGACTTAGGGAACAATGGAGAGCAACATTGCCTAGTCAGGACCTAGACAGTGTGCTTTATTATTTGGCTCTTTTGTTTATCCAAATCTCTGACCAGTGCTGCGTGTTGAATGTAATGTCAATGTAATGTCGAATGTTGAATGTAATGTAATGCAATGTTTTGTCTTATTAGATCAGACACNGCGCCGCACCCACCGCACCGCAACGGTAAGACCGGAGTCGGTGTGAGCCTGGGGTCACACCTCCCTCCACTTGCAGAATCTTTTATGATGCTTCCTCTGTTGGCGAATAAAGCCTCTTTCCCACTGATCTTATCAACAATCAGCATTTGGCTCCCTACCTGTTGGCAAAAATAGCTGGGTCTGACCCCTGGAATTAGGGAACAATGGAGAGCAACATTGCCTAGTCAGGACCTAGACAGTGTGCTTTATTATTTGGCTCTTCTGTTTATCCAAATCTCTCTGACCAGTGCTGCGTGTTGAATGTAATGTCAATGTAATGTCAAATGTTGAATGTAATGTAATGCAATGTTTTGTCTTATTAGATCAGACACAACTGCCGTGATATTGTGTTCCTTGTGCTTAATAGTATAAAGTATTTAGCAAGTCGACCTGGGTCTGATGTTCCCGCTGTACGCTGAGTTGTTTGGTTGGTCAGTGACACATTCCCACTGCCCCTAAGAGCAGATTCTTTGTGGATTTAAACAAGTTCTTTGGCCAGTGGGAAAGAGCAATTACAGGAGGAACAGCGTCAAACTAAAGGCTGGGTCACACCGGTTGAATCTGACGCTACAGGCCCCAATAAGTTTTAGGTTTTTCTGTCAAACTGGCTGCATAGAGACCACCTCTACGCAAGCATCCTTCTTGTTCCAATTTTTTGTTTTGCTTAAGCAGAGAGAGGACTGCTATTTCACTTCATCTGGTTTCTATTCTCTTTAGGACCTAATCTGGGTAAAGCACACTGTTTATTGAAATGTTTGTGTAGGTCTGAGCCTCCTCTGCTTGCCATATATGCCCTGTGTGCTTTCCAAAAATGGATAGCCTTGCTGATTTACCTAGGAGTTCAGAGATTTTAATTCAGTATTCAGTGGATGTGTTGAATGAAGACATTGTCAGCCGGTGGAAGGAAGAAAGTGAGGGTCTCTTCAATCCGACCAACACGCCTTCCATGGACTGATTTGTTCATCACCAAGTTGAGCGGGGACACTGAACTGGCCCTTCATGGCTTTCTTAAAACACTGAAAATGACTCATTTTTTTGGACAGTATTGGATGATATTGGGTTGGATAATGGCTTGGAAAGGGCAAAAGTGGTTTGATTTTTTAGTGGCAGCTACATCATACAGTCAGCCAAAAGACTGAGTGAACATCAGATGCATTAGGCAGGATTATCGGGTGAGAGTATGAGTTTTACAAAGGTTGCATAATAGGTTGACTTGTACTCTGATGCATGTTGTGTGCAGGGTGCATCAGAGAAGTTTGGGATGCCTAATCCTAATTGAGCAAACAGGTAAGGATCCTTAAGCCAGAGCAGAAGATCATCAGAGGAGTGCTATGCTATTATTATTGTCAATAAGAAAGGAGGTAGGAAGATGAAGCAGGATCCCTTCTATCTCCAGTTCAATCAGCATATGGACCTCCCAACATCACAATCCACCGTATAGGAATGACACAGTTTCCCATAATGCTTTGCATAGCAGGATGTGTAGGCACAGCCCACCTCACAGAGTTTAACAAGATTATATGAATTCTTCACTTGTATTCTGTGACACATGCCAAAGTATACACCATCATATGCTTTAGATTTTATGACGGAGAACTTAAGCTGTTTGCAACATTTGCGTAACTTTGGAAAGGCTGTAGTCTCTCTTTGACAAGCATTATCCATGTGTGTCCCCTTCTCATAATGAGGTCTGAAAGGGCTAAGGAACTTCAGCTTCAGGATATCATTTTGCAGCTCTTTTTGTACTCTCGATAGAGTTTTTACTGTTGACTCTGGGATAGGAGGTAGGAAGAGAGGGTAGGAGCAACAACATGCCCATATAGGAATCAGCTGAAATGTACCACAGCCTCCCACATCAGGCCATTGTGAAACTGCATCATCCTGATGCAACACCTGATGAATGCATGAAATCCTCGGAAAATAATTAAAGAACAAAATTGTGGCCATCTTGATTAGGTTTCTACAGCAATTTTTCTAATTAAATCCAGCTTGGATTTTATTTCTATCAGCCAATAAGAAAACAGAAGAAAACAGACTTTCAGCGTCTCGGTGGGATTTCTAAGAGGCCCAGTGTTTCTCTAAGTGTTTGGAGGCCTTGGGAGGAAGTGAGCAGATTGGGTTGGGTTGGAGAGTTTGTTGTCTCCCTTGGGAGGTGAAGAGGTTTCTGCAGAAAACACTGCCAGTCACGTCTGGCCCTCTGTGGATAGTAAATCATGCTCTCAACCGTGCTTCTCAAAAGTGCTTCCAAGCAGCAGTCCGAGCTCCCCCCCTTGACTGCAAATGCAATACGCCATGGACCTAAAGGCAGCAGGACCACCCAAGAGCCAATTTGGGGTCACATGAAGACACATATCCACAGTAAAACAAATAAGCATGCACTCTCCCAATCGAGAGCAGGCCACTGTGCCTGTCCTCGGGATGTGAGGCAGGATACTTTGTGGCAGCAGGGGTGAGGGGGGCACAGTAATTTCACAATAACTAGTGGTTTCAGTGGTTTCTCTCACTGGGAGCACCATACCACACAAAGTCCCAACTTCCTCCATATGAAATAAAAAGAAAACAATTAAACGTTGGCTAACCTTTGTGTTTAAAAGGCCTTTAGGCGGAAAAACAAACGCCAAGAAAACATGTCATCGAACCAGTTGAAACCAAATAGGAAGGAAACAATTCAGAAACCATTTAGGTTTGGGCAAATTCTTTCAAGCAGAAGTTAGATCAGGACAACAAGGGGAAATGAAATGGACCAAAAACTCATAACAACTGTTTTCTATTTCATTTGTGTGCCGGATGACTGAGCCATTAAGGAAAACCAGTGCTTAACAATAGGGAGGATATTTGGGAGTTAGATGAGCAGCATGAACAAAAAGACATCTGACAATAAGCATCTGTCAGAATATGCGGTTGGTGTGCGTTTGATAAGGTTGTAAGGAAGGAAAGGAAAAATAAATGAAGGTACAGGAAATAATGGAGAAAAGTTGGAGAAATGAGGAAAGGAAACAATGACAAATGAATGGATGAATGAATGAATGCATGAATTAATTAATACATTTACGCTACAGAATTTGGAATTAAGAATGCAAATCTTTCTAGATATAAATCAAGACTTAGAAAATACTTGAAATAAACTCCAGACTACATAGAAACCGTGATCCCTTTTTTTTTTTAACCATTTATTGCATTTTAATTTATCTTTACTCTGTATCTGGACTGAATTATTAAAAACTTTAATTAGCTTCCTTATTTTTTTATTGTAAATTTAAACACTGAACAAAAAAAAATAAAATTGTAAAGAAAATATTTGGCCTGTTAACGCTTTCTAAAAGCAGGCCATCCTTTCTTTGACAGGGCAGGATTGAAAATCTTAGTTTAGTTCAATTTAATGAAAAGAAGAAGAAAAAAATCAGCAAAAATATAAATGTGAAACCACAAACGAGTGATACTGGTATGAGATTCCCTCACTACCCAACAGCCAAATAAAAGAACCAATCAGGAGGCGTTTCACTTGCCTGCTTCTTTGCAAACAGCAGCTAGATCTGCTCCAACGTATCCGTGTGCGACATCGGCCAGCTGCATCAGCTCCTCTGCGCTGGCGCTGCACGGCACCATACTTAGCTGCTTCTGCAGAATATCCGCTCGCTCTGCACTACCAGGAACCCCCACCTGATCAGAACATGGAATGGATCACAGGTAAGAACAGGGACCGGGGGGGCCATCATTCTCAGTCAATATGGAACACACCTCTAACTCCTTGTCAAAGCGTCCTGGCCTGCGCAGAGCAGGGTCGAGGGCCTGGGGCCTGTTTGTGGCCCCCAGGACCAACAGCTGGCCTGAGTGACCCTCCTGGAAACACAAAATGGATTCATTCAAGACAAACAGAAAGAAGTTATGCCTTTACTAACAAAAGCAAACTTATTAATAATCATCTTCTGGATGTTGTCACATTTTATCCTCATAATTAAATTGAATTTTTAAGGATTTTATGTGATTTTATAAGTGATTATTATTAAGAAGTAAAATAAAATCATGGATTAATCCTTCCACAGCTCTTTTAGTCATCACAGCTCCCAACAATCTCGATAAGAGCTTAAATCATTCACAACACCTGTCATCTCAAGGCATTTTACAGAGATAATACAGTCAGATTGGTTATGAAAACCTGTTGATTGCTTCCAGTCAGTGATTTGGAAGACCTGCAGCTAGTGGCGCCTCCAGAAATGTTTGATAGGGGGGCCAGATGGGCCCACTAAAAAGCTTAGGATTGTACACTAAAACTAAAAGCAATAATTTCAGGGTTTTAATCTACTATTGTTGGTAAACCTGATTGTAGAAACCATAAAGACTCAAGTAAACACATACTCATATATTGGTTTATTGTGTGATTTTTAATTCTAGGTCGCTGGCTGTGCATAATTGGATGAAATGCTAAACTGATGCTACTAGAATTTACAGTGGTGAGTGGGGTGGCCAGTAGCTACATATATTAAGAGGTTCTTAGAGCTAGTTAACATAAAGTATTGATGGGGAAGAATAAACTTTTTTTTTAAATGCTTTGGCAGAGTTTGTATACTTGTTAAAATGTTGAAAACTCTTAAAGATCCCCAATAATAAAATATATATATATATATATGTTTTTTTTTTGTTTGTTTGTTTTTTGTTTTTTTTATTTCTTATACATCTAGCGTGTTGGAAATACACCATAGTGGAGTTGTCCAACATTCTGCCTCCAGTTGGTAAAAAAAATTGCAGCTTGTTTACTGTTTCTATGAAAAGAATCAACATCAAATCTGCACAAATCCTGGAGCCTTTTAAATCACATTTAATGCTCACTTTAATGGCTTTTGGTTCACACTGACCCAAATGCTGTTGGTTCTTAAACAGTTTTTGTCTTTTATCTTTTTAATTATCATGTCTCTGGTCATTTAGGCTGTTTTCTTAGTGTTGCGCACTCTTTATTTTTTTAAACTGTGGTACTTTTATTTTAAAACATGGCTGCTTTGCTTGTAACGCACTTTGTGCAGCTAGACCTGTTTGATATGTGCGATAGAATTTAATTGGACGTAAAGAATGGCTGTTTGTGGTCCTGTTTACTATGACTCAAAATGAGACTTGGAACATCCTGATCAGGTCATCCATCCTGCAGCACATAAAAAAACATTCACACTGAGGTCCAATGTATCCTCACGTAGTGATTTTTGGAGCAGGGAAGGAAGCCTGAGTACCTGGAGAGAACCCACATTTGAGCATGGAGAAAATGCATCATATTGATGAAAAAAAGGTTAAATAAATCATTACATCCTTATGACACGGGTGCATCCAAAACCTGGATGAGTTAGTTGAGATACTTTGCTTACTGGTTTCATTTGGGTGAGAATCTTAAACTATCCTGGGATTCAAAGTTGCCTATATCCTTTATTTTCTGGGGGGGAGGGGTTCTGCCTTCTCTTCTCCAACATTTTATACCGAAGGAAAAGAAGTTAAACAGATCAACGGCTGTGCAGACCAGAGAACTATGGAGCAGGAAGTGTCTCTCTGCATTCCACATCCCATTTGGTGCCGGTGACCCCGGACCACCGGTCCTGCCAGCGGAGAGCAAGCCGCTCCATCTTCATATCATGGCCATTTCCCTTTCAGGGACATGCAGTTCTACTTAAACCCATCTCTGGTGTCTCTCATAACATTTCTGGGATATGTGTGTGTGTGTAGTTTTAAAGGTTGGGGGAATCGTTTCTCTCATTAGAGCTTAGAACTCAAACAGCACCCCAGAGATCCGGCCCACAGCGTCTGAAGTGCATCCAGTCTGTAGATGGTTTCTGCATGTCAATCTGCATCCCTGATGAGGAATCCTGACAGCAGCAGGAAGTCAGCTCCTCCTGGGAGGCTTCTTACCGTCAACCCCCCCCCTACCCCAAACTATTTGCACCTCTGATAAAGATGTCTACCATGGATAATCTGCCACTAAAGAAAGTTTGCATCTAATCTCTGACCCATTCTATTCTATCTAACCTGATTGGAGTCTCCGGGAACTCTTTAAGGTTGCTGTATGTTACTTTAGACTCACAACTTTGAATATACTTCAAATTCTGGGTTTTGCACCAATGAATTATTGTTTGATCCGTATAGTCAATCTCTATTATTGTAGATCTTTGATTCCTTTAGATAAAAACAACATATTCTAATTAGCTACATACTGAAATCCATCAGTCATTCAAATAAGCGTTCTGATATCCTGGGATCAAAAACGATCATAGAGGACACTTTATTAACCACTTTCACTAATATTTGTTCTGTGCGACTTAAAAAAGCAGTATGAAGTCTTTATTTTGGTATTTCAGACCGAATGTAGAAACCAAAGACCAGGTAGAGTTCTCTGTTTTCAATAACCCTTCATTTAGAAAGCGAAATGTCAATATCAATGTCCGTTTAAGTTAGCCTCTCCTCAAAATGGGAAAAAAATCTTGAAAATCCCAGTTAGGGAAGTCGGATGTGTTGATCTTAGTAGATCATGACTAAACATGTACGCAGCTACTTTTTTTTTTATTTTTTTTATTTTATTCCTTTATTTAACCAGGAAAAGTCCTATTGAGATTACCAATCTCTTTTTTTGAAGGGAGTCCTGGCCAAGAGAGCGGCAAAAGATTACATTACAAATTACATTACAGTTTACAATTACATCTATCTATAATTAGAAATTCATAAAACAGTTACAAAGCATAGATCTCATTTTCAAACCTTTGAGCAATCATTTAAAATGTCAGATTGGAATCAAATCCTTCAACTTCCAGTCTTTCTGAAGATTGTTTCATGCTGTGGGGGCAGGTGTGCTGAAAAGCTGTCTTTCCAGCTTCAGTGCGGACACTAGGTACAGACAGAAGCAAAGACTCTTGAGAACATAGAGAATACAGTCCAGCTGTTCTTGGTTGAATGTACTCACAGAGGTATGAGGGGAGCAGATGCAGAATACCCTTATAAATGATCATATACCAGCTAGCTACTGTAAAAGGAATCATTAAAAACGCATGTAAAAACCAGAGAGCGACTGGTGGGCTGATTTTTTTGGCCAATCGTGAATATGTTCAATGATTCTTTAGTGCCTTCAGCAGAAGGCGTATGCATTGCTGCTCCCTATATTTACATTGTTAATGTTTTATTTATTTATAATAAATGTTTCTTTTTATTTTAACTGAAAGTTGCGTAACAGTTATCATTACAACATTTTATTATGTAAATGAATGAAGAGAAAAGTATTATGGTCAAAGAATTTGATGATAAAAACTAATAAAGTAATTTGATAGGTTAGGATAAAGGCTTATGAACCATTAAACATGGAGGGTGTTGAGCAATTCAGAACCAAACCTTCCTTATCAAATTACAAGCTGATAAAAGACCTCATGACCAAAGATGTTCCTGATTTTTTAAAGGCTGTTTCTAAATAAGCCCAGAAAGGTGGAGAGAATACAACTAAGAGGTGATCTTAGCCAACTTACCGAACCGATGCCGTCCATCAGAGTCAGGAGAGAAGCGACGACTCGTTTCTCCACCTCATTCTGAGCTCCTTCTCGCTTTGGGCACAAAGCGTCCAGCTCATCTATAAAGATGATCGCAGGCTGCCTGTTAAAGCACCAACAATTTGATCAGATTTCAATCCATTCTCTAAGAAAGCGTTCCGAACAAGAGAACTGAAGAGTGAACTGGTTGGATTTACCTCTGAGATGCGTCTGTGAATATCTGTCTTAACTTCGCTTCTGTTTCGCCATAAAATCTGCAAAGATATAGAATAAAACATGAGCCTTTGAGTGGATGTAAAGAGCCAGACAGGAGTTTACATTCACTCACTACTGGTAATAATATCCTGCTGGTTTAGTTCCATTTATCATGTATTCTTCAGAGCATTTTGCAGTTCAGAAACAGTGTTAAAGACTCAATTTTGAAGAATTTTAAAGGGAAAAGTTACTTGAACAGGTCTGAAACTAACCTGGGGTCTCCCCAAATGAACAACAGGGCCAGTGTACTGCCATGGAGGTGTAGAACAAAAGAATGGGGGGAAAACGAAATCCAGGAAATGACTATAGAGATAAAATAACCATCTCTATGGTGTCGTAGGTTTAGACTGCTGGAGGACATAGGGTCCACTTTTCATCATTCTGTTTTATTGTATCTCTATATGTTTGTTTGTCTATTTCTTCTTTAAGATCTATGTCCTCCTGTTGGACCCCCAGCAGACCCTCAGCATGATGCTGCCCCCTCCCTGCCTGGCAGCTGTTTTCTGTAGTTTGAACATTCTCCAGAAGGCTACACACCTCAATTAAAGCTGTTGATTACGGAGATGAAATTTCTAAATTAAATCCGTTATTGTTAATCTGTCCTCCATCTGGACAGTGATGCTGGTATTCCAGCATCTTTTAGTTCATGAATTGTTAATCCTCAGTAGGTCACCTTGAGTTATTGCTGAATATTCTCATTAATTTTCTTTTAGTGTCAGATAGGAGTTTGGGTCAAATAAGTGAAGCTTTGACATATTTGGGTGTTTCAGAACAAAACTATTAAAACCAAACATTAAGAAGCAGATAAAATAGGGGATCATTAAGCCTCTGGAATTGCTTTAACATGTGGGCATAAAAAGTGTAAACTATTTCTAAATGTCACACACATGGCAGAGAAGAAATTTCAGCTTAAGATTCAAGCTTCTAACTCAGCACTGCGTTGTGTTTAGTTCATCTATCCCTTCCTAATATCCCTCATGCTGTGAATGCAGGGTGTCTGATCCACGTGTTCCTACTTGCTGATGATCTCTGGCCCGTTGATCACCACCATGTGAGCGCCCAGTTCGTTGGCTATGGCTCGGGCAATCATAGTCTTTCCCGTGCCTGGCGGTCCGTAGAGGAGAACCCCTCGAGGAGGCGAGATACCTGTTTGGATTCATTGATGCACAGAGTTTATGAATCTATAAAGCTGACAGTTTGACATGGAGAGCAACAGCGATGTGGAGTCAGTGACGCACCGTAGTTAGTGAAAAGCTCTGGTTGTTTGAGGGGGAGCTCGATGGTTTCTCTGATGGCATCCAGCTGGCTGCTCAGACCACCAATCATGCTATATGTGACCTTTGATTTGGGGACTTCTTCATCTTTGTCTGAGTCTCTCTGCCCTGCTCTGCTGCTAAGTCTGACTTTGGTGGAACACGTGACACAGTAGAACGTGTCACTACACGTAAAACCAGCAGTGGGCGCTGTGGACGTCTTTTCAGAATGCCCTGAACCAGTGCAGTCGTCAGGATCGGCCTCTTCTGCAGACTCAGCAGTGGAGGGATTGAAGGAGGTGGAGGAAGGAGTGAGAGGAGCGGCAGGCGGTGAGACGGAGGGAAGAGGAGCCGATCGGAGAGGGGTGCTAGCAGCTGGGCGCGGCTGTCCGGGTGTGCCTGGTGTGGCGTCGTCATCTACAGTGAGCATGCTGAGCTGCAGGGAGAGATCGGCTGATGTGGAGTTCAGCACTGAGGAGTCTGTATCAGGAGGAGCTCCCAGAGGAGCAGCCGGTCTCTGGAGGGTGACGCCGTCCTCCCCTCTGATGGTTTCAACCCGAAGACTGCAGGAGCGTCCAAAATAACTCAGAAAGACAATGTTTCCTGGGAGGATGATGCTTCCAGCTGATAAAAGAGACATAAAGGTGAACCAACATAAGAAAAATCAGAGTCTGCAAAATATAAGCAAACGGGCAGGACAGGAACTCACCCAAAGTCCTCACTAAGAAGTTCTTGAATTCATCTGCATCAAGAGTTTCATCCTTTGACCTGAAGAAAAGATGTGGAACATTAATAAATATAAACCACATTAAAATAAATATGAACAGAAACATATCATTATTAATTGGATATTAAATCATTCATTAAGATAAAACAATCAATAAATCAGCCTTAGTTTAAACATAATTCCTTCTTTATATAATAGGCAGTAATTGTTCTCTTTTAATCTCCTCTTTGGAATTTCTAACAGCTAATTCATCATCAACAATGAACAGAATAACACTAAATAACTGGAAATAAAACCAGAGGTGTCAAGTAACGAAGTACAAATACTTCATTACCTCACTTAAGAAGAATTTTGGCTATCTATATTTTACTGGAGTAATTATTTTTTAGAGAACTACTACTTTTTTTTACAATTATCTCTATTTTTTACTCCTTAAATCTTAAAAATAGTCTTGTTAGTTTTGTTTAATTTAAGCTCATTTTTGTTATGGCCTGTTGGTATTTAAAAAAACAACAAAAAAACAAAAAACACCATTAAAATATTTTTTTTAAATCCAGACAATTAATTTCGTTATGGTTAGGCTCAGTACTGCACCAAAATAATATACCAAAACAAATTGTTTTTTCAAGATGACAAAATTAAATTTGACACTGTTGCTATTAGTTAAAAAAAGAAAATTCCTTATAAGGAAGTAAACATCCAGAATTGTAGAAAACTGTTCCTTTAATAGAATAGTGCATGTAACCAGTATGAGGTTTAAAGCATCTGTCCATTTTTCTTGCACTACTTTTACTTTTATAGTTTAAGTCGTTTTAAAAATGGTACTTTTACACTTTACTTGAGTAAAAAGCTTAAATTGATACTCTAACTTCTACAAAAGTATTTTCAAACAATAGGATTTATAGTTTTACTTGAGTTATAAAGATTAATACTTTTGCTGATGAAGGTTCTCAGTCATCCAGGTCATAGTTATTCCATAAAAATTCAAAACATATCCACTGGACTTGGTTTCCAAGATTTGAAGACATTTTGCCACCTCTCCAGGAAGCTTTCTCAGACATTTGAATTGTGAAAGCTTCCTGAAGAGGTGGTGAAATGTCTTCAAATCTTTGAAATCAAGTCCAGTGGATATTTTTTTGAATTTTTACGGAATTAATACTTTTGACACCTATGAATAAAACCAACATTTCTAAACTAACTTTGTTTGATGCAATTTGAACTGCAATTACTTTTCTTAACCAGCAGATGGCAGTGTTTACCTAAAATACCATTGTGCATTTAAACATTTTTTCTAACTCCTGTCTTTAACAGCTTTGGGGTTATGCCAGGATTCACATTTCAGGCAATGTATTTATTATTTTTATTATCTATTTTATAAGACTTCTACATCTGCTGCAGGACATTACAAAGATACATTAAAAAAAAAGTTTAAGCAACCCAACTTACCATATCTAAAGATTAATCAAAATATAGAATAAAAATGGTTCTTTTAATAAACAGCACTACCTTTAAAATGACAGAAATTAAGCTTCAACACAATTCTAACATTTATGCCTGCATTTTTTACTAAACAGAGATAAAGCCAGAAATATATATTTTTAAAAACATATAAGATGATACAGACAAAACTTTCTTTTATTTTGGTCTATCTGATATAATTTCAATACATACATGAACCAAATAAAGCTGCCAGCAATAACAGATTCCTAAACAAACTTATGATGTTTATTTTCCCATGTTTATAAAATGCCTCTAGTATAGAAATATTTGCTTTAAAAGACAAAACGCATAAAAATACACAAAACCCAGAACATCAAACAGTGAGAAACGCTGTAATCATGGACTGGGATGTATACCGATATACAGGAAATGTCATTAAACCGATATTGAAATTTTCAAATAACAGTCCTGTTATTTGAAATAAGATAATGGAGAAGATTTTTCTTATTTGAAACATAAATCATCTTATTCCATTACCCTTATTGTCGTACCTGCTCAAATCAGGGGAAAAATCACGAAAAACTGACTTACTTGTACTTTAATTTTGGCAATTATACTTTTAGAAAACAGAATAGCAGCAGGATTTAGGCTTGGAGAGTTTCCTCTAAAGCTCCATAAGACCTCAGCCAAATGACTCCATGAGGCAGAGAGGTTCTGCTTTGAAGGAGCCCAGATACCTCACACCAACTCTTAAAGTTTTGGTGGAGGATTTTCACAAGACCCGCCCTCTCCTCTTTAAAAAAAAAAAAAAATGCACAACCATAATCACGTACCCGCTCCCGAGAGGAAACGCCCCTTAAACTCATTCGAGAGCATGCACAAGACCATTTCTCCCCGTGCACGCTCTGTTTAAAAGTTGCTGTTCTCATAGCTCATACAAGCTTAATGTGTCCGAACATCTGCCCTAAATTCCCTCCATCGCTATATAGAGCAGGGACTATATAGTGGACTTTATAGCAAACTTAGTCAACTGACCATTCGGACAGACGATCACAGCTTTTAGCTCCCTATTGGTCACGTAACTCCTCCTCCACTCCGCCATCTTTGATATTAGTCGCCGCTGTCGGGTAGCAACAGTAAATCCTATAAGGCTTTACGAGGAGAGCTCTCCGCACAAAGCATTCTGGGATACATCTGCCTCTTCTGAGGCCTTTCTTTTCTTCTCATACACTTCGTAGAAACTTTTTCTCTAATGATCCTCGGCCATTTTCAAAGTACCGCTGTAAGAAAGGTGAGCTTCAATGACTGTCTGAAAAGGACGGCCTTACGTAAACATATCACCATAAGGGCAGATTACACTTCTGCATCCGCACACATCAAATGTTGCTTGCGTCTGGTTGCGAACCAGTTTTGCTGGTATGCTTCTGCAACGTCGGTCTGGAATTTTTAGGGACGCACAGCAGTTTCCAACCAAAGCGATAGGGGGAGCCTATTTGAGAACTTGCGAGAACTTTGGCGGATGGTCATGAGAACTTCTTCGGCGGTGCCAGCGGGAGTGTTTATTTTCCAAAACAACATGTCTGGGGCATCATACAAGTGGTTGTACTTCCAAACCTCCTCAATCAACCTTTCGTTGTGCTTATCCATTGTTGTTATTATTCCTTGTTTTTTGAAAATGGTGCGCCCGGCACCGAATCGAGAAGGATGACCACACAGAAAGCCAGAAAGGCATACCAAGGACCAATCACAGCTGCTTTTTGTCTGTGTACTTCCGCTTGAGGTCTGCGCGGGTTTGGGACCGCCCGACATGTACTCAGGATTTTTATGAGGTGAGCGACGATGGTTGCAGAACCTCTGCGTGGGGGGCATGGTCGCACACAGAGACAGATTTGACGGTTGCAGAGGCTACGCGTCAGAAGCATAAATTGGCCTTTATTTAGATGCTCCACCCGAAAATAAAAGATCATCCTCTATACCTTTAAGTATGGGGGTGGAGGGCGAATGATTGGGGCTTATTTTGCAACTCCAGGACCTGACAGAGCGTTAGCCATCAGCATACAAACACAGACAGATATGATATAAACACAGAGCTAAATACGAAACATCTGCAAACCTTCATAAACTAAAGCAAGGTTGTAGAGAAGGTTCGGTCAAAGCTGCTCAACAATGAAAAGAGAATGATGATGAAGGCTGACAGAAAGCAGCTTTTCCATTTTTGGCTCCTCTTTTGTTTCAAAAATAATGACAGAGCTGTATTGCTCACTTTCTATTTAAATGACTTTATGGAGCAGATCAGTTCTACTGTATCCTGATGTATTAAGCCCTAGAAAAAAAACGGTTTCTGTGTGTAGAATGATTACCGATTAGAGAGAACCACTTCTTCAATCTGGACCACAGGACCCGTTACCGGGTGCAGCACCACCGCCTCCCCTGGTTTAATCCCCAGATTCTTCTGAGCAGATTTCTGAAGGCCAACTTTTCCGCCTGGAAACGATGCAACAGGCCAACCCAGGCACACCTGGGCAACAGGAAACAGGAGAGAAGGTTTCATCTATAGACGACTGGAGAGTTTTTCTACAGGCTAAGCGTGTTAAATTTTGTATCAGTCATTGATGTGAATGTTAAAGCTTCTACCAAAACAGTAGTCAATAAAAAAAAGCTTTTAAATCAGAAATTTGTCCTAGAAATTATAATTTAACTTCCTTATTTAAATATTCGAGGAACCAAATCAATGTCACAGAGCATCACTGTTAAAGGAAAAAAAAACAAAATCCCAACTATGTTCATATTCTTTGATACATAAATTAAAAAAATACTTTCAAAAAGCAGGATTCTACCTTTTAAATGTTACTAAATTAAAGCCAAAAATAAAAGAACGCATTTCCATCCACAGCATCCATTTCTACTGAGATATTTTACAGAAAGAGGACTGGAAGATGGACGTCACCTCTTGGCGTCCTGAAGGACTCGTCAGCAGGACCGGCCTCCCGATGCAAACACCTGCAGACTTCATAGAATTGAGGCTCAGCTGAGCTAAAGTCCATCGGCAACTTCTGGGTGTTTTATCATCGGCTGTGAGGTAGAAAAAAGGAAAAAAAGTGAAGGACGAGGGAGAAAAAAAAGTACATCAAACATGAACGTGCTAAATATTATTACTAATAGTTTTTCACTGATATTCTATGCAGGGATTCCCTATGCCGTTAAGATTATCAACATCCAGAGCTGCAGGTTATATATCTGTGATATTTTTATAGCAATAACAGCAGTAATATGGTGTCATCTGCTGTCAGGCTGGATTTAAAAAGTATAAGATGAAAATATGTTTATGAAGAGCTGCTTCTATTCAGACCCAAAGTTCGTGCACTTAGAGAGTATCCATGTGTTTCTCTTTCTGTTAGTTTTGCTCATTAATGTAAAAAGATGAAGAGATCTGTTGTCTGTCTATTGGCTATTGAAGCTCTGACTCCAGCCTCACTTTTTAAATTTCCCCACAACTTCTTTAAAAGAGCTTTGCTTCTCCATCCTCCCAAAGGATTTCCTTCAAAAAAAGGTTAAAACGTAGTTTTACAAGTTTGAAGACGTTTTGCTTCCCATCCAGGTAGGTACCTATAACGCAGCAATAGAGTTGATTCCTTCCTGCTATCATCTCAATGTTCATCGCCATGCAGGGGACCAAAACATCTCGCCTCATCAGCGAGGCCAACAACAACCCTAATGATTCCCTTTTCAGAGGCATAGACCTGTATCGGGTATTGCAGGCTAACAACAACCTCAACGACTCCCCATTACAGAACCTTTTTTTGGTTCAATCTGCATGTTTTCTAAGCCAAAACAAGGCTTTGTTAGTCCCACCCTATGAGCCTGGAACTCAAACACTACTCCAGATATTTTGAATTGAGAAAGCTTTCCGCACTGATTGTGCCAAAGGAAGAAAAAGGTGGGATGTATATATACAGTATATACAGTGAGTCCACATATGACAGCTTCTTCTTTTTCTTCTTTTTTTACATCGTAGGATCATTATACATTATTGCACAGGATGTTTATATGGGTATTTATATACATGGAGAGTTTTATATATATAAGTATTGCACTGGATGTCGGATATAGAGAAACAGGTTATTGCAAAGGGTATCATATGGTAAATTGCACATTCTACATTGCACAAGTTATTGCCGTTGTATTGTCGCATTGTAGGGATGAATGA